GCTTGTCCAGGGGTAGGGGATTTTTGTTAAATTCCTTGGGTCCCACACAATCAAGGGATGGAGGAGATGCCTAAACCAAGACAGAAAATGAAAGCACTATAAAAGAAAAATATATTTATGTAAAAATTTGATGAATGACTCAATCAACTATCTTTAAGACTATCAAGATAGTCTTAAAGGAAAGATAAACAACTTGACCACATAAAAGTATTATATGTATGGCCAAAGATACCATTAATAAAGTCAATGGAAAGGGGCACCTGGGTGGCTCAGTTGGTTAAGTGTACAACTCCTGGTTTTGGCTCAGGTCATGAGCTCAGAGTTTGTGAGTTTGAGCCCCAAGTTGGGCTCCACGCTGACAGCATGAAAATAAATCAATGGATAAAACTAAATCTAAAAAAATTTTGCAGTGTGATGACAGTTAAGGTCTATAATATAAAACTCCTACAAATTATAATAGAGAACCTATTTTTTATAAAAGGGCAAGGTATATGAAGTGACAAATCAATTAATTACATCTGTATCAGCTGAGGTAGAGGGCTGTATATAAGGACACCTGGTTGGCTCAGTTGGTAGAGCACATGACTCTTGAGAGTTCAAGCCCCACGCTGGGGACAGAATTTACTTAATGAAACAACTCTATACAAGACACTGAGTGAGGGGAAAAAAAATGTCAGTGTAAGAAATATGCCATTTTTGTGAAGAACTCAATGCCTTCTTCCCCTCCGTGTGTGTGTGTGTGTGTGTGTGTGAGTGTGTGAGTGAGAGAGAGAGAGAGAGAACATGAAAAAATGGGAGAGAAGTGGAGAAAAAAAAAAGACACTAGAGACCCCATTCTATGAATCAATTAATTTGGGGTGGGCGGAAATGTGTGTGTAAATAAAGACATACAAAACTTCTGTGTGTATGTGTATGCAAAAAAGGTTTTTACAAAGGTGTACACACTATTGATTACCTCAGAAAGGTAGCATGGACAGGAGGGGAGGCTTTGCCTTTAATATATCTTTGCATTGCATTGTTTCACTTGCTATAAAAAAAAAAAATCGAATACTTTTATAATTTGAAAAACACCACATTTAAGAAGTTACGCAAACCACCACCAACAAACATCCTATTTATGTTTATGTTACCTATTTATAATGGTATTTTCCCACTCATCTACCCTTCCATATCCCTCCTCATTTGCTGCTGGAAGCACCATATCATTTTGGCTACTCACCTAGCATCTGATACACCAACTACGACAAGAACTAAGCATTCCAATACACACATTTCTATAATACAAGCTTTTACCCCTCGCACTTGGTTTTGTTTTGGTTTTTCTGCCATTTTCCACCCTTGTTTTATTTGCTGAATCTTTTTGATGGAACAGAAGTACGTACACCTTGGGATTCTCTCTGCTGAGTCTTGGGAAACCCCAGGCTCAAGTCTGTGTGTGCTCTTACATTGTCCTTCTTCCAGTTTTCCATTCAAGCAACTGTTCTCTGTAGTGCCTGCACGCTGGGACTCTTATGTTTCTAGAGCAGTGCTGTCCAATAGAAGTACAATATAAGCTCCCATATGTCATTTTAAATTTGCTGGTAGCCACGTTAAAAAGGTAGAAAGAAACAGGTAGAAAGAAACAGGTAGAAAGAAAAAGGTAGAAAGAAACAGCCCATCCCCTGAGGGCCCTGCAGTTCATGACAGATTAATAGTTCCTCCTCTTTGGATGATTTCCTTTTCCAATTCATTAAGACTCTCAAGAGTGTGAATAAGGCACAGTGAGTGTTGCAAAGAACACACTTTATCATAAACTATTAATTTTGAATACCTACCGTTAGGCTGTTTCCAAAAATCAATTCCACCTTCCATAAGGAGATTTCCCACGGAGGGGACTCAGGCTGACATGAGAATACAGTACTTTATTGGTAACGCGGGTTGAAATCTCGACTCTTGCTGTTTAACTACCTGCGGGGCACTGGGCCAATTTCATTATGACTGCGTTTCTTGTCTGTAAAAGGGTGGTATTTACAGTACCTACTTCACAGGTTCCCGGGAGAATTAAAGCAGTTAATAGATAATAAAGCATTTGGAACAGTGCCAGGTACATAACAAATGTTCAATACTCGTTAGCCGTGGTTCCCGCAAACTTGTTGCAGGCCCCGAGGGAAGTCCCAAGAAAACACCAGAAACCGTGAGGAGGCTCAGTGACAGCGCGGGTGAATTCCGCCTCAGGCCACCACCGCCGCCGCAGGGCCTGGGCGCCAAGGCCCCGAGGAAGCCTGATTCCAAAACGCTCCACTCACCGCTCCACTCACCTCTCCCCTCCGCACTCGCGGCCGGCTCCTTCCGGTCGAGCCTGAGGCGCCAGGTAACTAAGGGAAACCTGAAGAGGGACTCCCTGAGGCCAGGCAACCGAGACAACTTTTCTTGACGGTGTGTTGGGGGGGGGGGGTGTCTACCGGAAGCGGGAGGGACAGGATCCTCGACTCTCCAGCTGCCAGCGGTACCCTCTCCTCAGGGTGAAGCAGCCCTCCAGCCCACGCCCGAGCTGCTTGGGGGAGGTGTCAGTCAAAGGAACTAGGGCGGCCCGCGGGCCGGTGGGGGCGGGGCCGGACCAAGCCCCGCCCCCTGCCCGCCGGGCTCGAGCCCTGAGCGGACGCGTCGGCCCGACGCACCGAAGCCCCAGCAGCCAATCGGGAGGCGTGGAGCGGGTTCAAATAAAGAAGGCGGGTGAAGATGGCGTCACCTCTTGGGTCTGGGAGGTGATCGACCCCGTATTCTGTGGTGAAAATGTGGCGGGTGAAAAAACTGAACCTTAGCCTGTCGCCTTCGCCCCAGTCGGTGAGCAGGAGAGCCTCAGGGGCAGAGAGAGCTGGATCGGGGCTTCGGTGGGGGAGACGCCGGCGACGCCGAGTGTCGGGGAAAGCTGGGTCCAGCCTGGGGACCGCGATGTGTGTGGAGTCTTATTGGTCCCGCAACTTCAGCGCCATTGGGGTGGAAGTCTACTCTTGCTATTGCCCCCAGGAGCTTATTAGAGAGGGAAGACCCAGCTCAGGCTTTCTCACACTCTGTTCTTTCTCAGGGAAAACCAGCTATGAGAACTCCTCTCCGAGAACTTACCCTGCAGCCTGGTGCCCTCACCAACTCTGGAAAAGGGCCCCCCGGATGCTACTCGCCGACTTCATCACTGTGCAAGCTGGGACTGCAGGTGAGATTCGACTGGGCTCTCTGCCGAGGCCGAGGGCTCAGAGGAACAGAGGGCCAAGGCTGGAACATAATTAATAACGGTAATGAAGTCTTCTACCTTAGTGACATCCATTTACAGCTATTCAGGCCAACAGAGAGGTGCCCTAGGGTGGTTAAAGGAAATCCACTGAGAACCCGGACCTCTATTTGGCTGTTAGTTTTTCTCACGTCTTCCCCCGTTAAACTTTTACCAAAGTACTGAGAAATACTATCGCTTTGATTAGTGGTTTCCCCCTAAACGTGGGCTCACTCAAGCAGAGATCAGTTGGCTGCGGTAGTGAGGCAATATTCATATCCATTCCAAGAAGTAGTCAGAACTCTTCCTGGAGTCAAGTTACCCCACTGGAAGGCAGGGTACTTGGATCATCTTCACTTAAACTAGCCCCTGGTAGAAGTGCCCTCACTGAGTTGTCCATGTGTCAAAAGTCTTGAGAGAAGTACCCATGTATAAACTGCTTTTCAGTTGCTGTAAAAACTTGCCAAAGAAGGAGATTGACCCCTCTATAAGGTTCCTTGAAGAGATTTCTTTTAGAACTTAACTGCCTGGGAAAATTGTTTTCCTGAAGAAATCACTTTTTCTTTCTTTCTGATAATGAGAACTATGTAGGTTACCATATTTTCCCTTTTGCTCTGGCTTCTAAAAAGCTCAGGGTCAAATTTAATCATCAGATGTAGCTACTATTACTCTTTGAAATACGAAAATCTGCTTTCTTTTTCTTTCTTGACTATGATTTTGTATTCATTAAGTTGATCTGTCCATCTATCTTCTTTTTTATGCAGTCTGAACTATTTTTGGAAGATGGGATATAAATAAAATAGGTTAGAGGAGGAAAGAAGAAAATGTAAAAACAGAATCTGAAGCGGCCTGAATAACAGATGTATGAGGGTAGCAGCCTTTCTTGAAAACACTCTAACACCAATAGAACTTTCTGGGATGAAAGGGGTCCCTGGGTAGCTCAGTCAGTTAAGCGTCCAACTCTTGATTTCCTCTCAGGTCATGATCTCGCAGTCATGAGATCCAGCTCCATGTTGGGCCCTGTGCTGAGCCTGGAGCCTGCTTGGGATTCTCTTTTGCCCGCATGTGCGCTCTCTCTCTCTCTCTCTTCTGTCTTTCAAAATAAACGTACATTTAAAAAAAAAAAACTTTCTGGGACGATGGAAATGTTTGATAATCTGTGCTGTCCAATCTGGTGGCTATTAGTTATGTGGGTATTGAACACTAGTAGTTAATGTGACTGAGGAACTAAATTTTTAGTTTTATTTAATTTTAATTTACCAAATTAGATAGTATAGCTTAGACAAAAAGAAAAGTACCTAGTGGGAACTGATCTTCATAGAACTTGATAGAATGTAACCATAGCCATTTAATCACAGTAGCAGAATAGAATGGAATGGAATTTAGGCCTCCCTTCTGCTACCTCCTGATACGCTCAGCTACATAGACAAAAAGAGTTTTTCTCCCAACAAAATAACTATTTATTGCTTAAAAAAATTTTTTTTTAATCTTTATTTTAGAGAGAGACAGAGAGACAGAGAGACAGTGTGAGTAGGGGAGGGGCACAGAGAGAGGGAGACACAGAATCCGAAGCAGGCTCCAGGCTCTGAGCTGTCAGCACAGAGCCCAATGCAGGGCTTAAACTCACCAACCGTGAGATCATGACCTGAGCTGAAGTCAAACGCCCAACCGACTGCGCCACCCAGACACCCCACTATTTTTTGCTTTTTAAATTTTTGATTATTTAGGGGTACCTGGAGGGCTCAGTGGGTTAAGTGTCTGACTCTTGATTTCGGCTCAGGTCATGATCTCACGGTTCTTGAGATCCGGCGTTCCCGTTGGGTTCTGTTACAGCTCAGAGCCTGCTTTAGATTCTCTCTCCCTCTCTCTCTCTCTCTCTCTCTCTCAAAATAAACAAACATTAAAAAAAAAAGAGACAATCCTTTCTTGTTTTTTTTTTTTTTTGGGGGGGGGGGGGGGGTGGGGTGCAGTACAGGGGAGGAGAGAGCAGGGGAAGGGCAGAGAAAGGAGAGAGAGAATCCCAAGCAGGCTCTATGCTGATAACCCGAGGGCAGGGCTTGAACTCCAGAACTGAACCGTGAGATCCTGACCTGAGCCGAAATAAAGAATCAGAAGCTTAACCAACTGAGCCACCCAGGTGCCCCCTTTCTTGCATCTCTATATGTTATCTGTCTGTATGTGTTTATATCCACACACATCCATATATTATCATACTTTTATTTTAGAGGAAGAGTGAGCAGGGGAGAGGGGCAGAAGGAGAGAGAGAATCTTAAGCAGGTTTCCCACTCAACGCTGAGCCAACTTGGGCTTGATTTTACGAACCTGGGATCATGACCTTAGCTGAAATCAAGAGTTGAATGCTCAACCAACTGAGCTACCCAGGTGTCTCCTTAAGTGATATTTAAAAAGAATAAATAGGAACTTGATAAACGCAGCAAAAACTGTAAGGTGCACTTTTGCATTCCTAAAAGTCTTTGGTTTGTTTAGTCTCTGGGCTATTTAATGCAGACTGATTTATGTTTTGTATATCCTATCTTTCTTTTTGTTGGTTTTTACCTCATATCTTTTTGACATCCCTTTTATTTTCTACTTTTCCTTTAAAACACTTTGAAAGAAAAACTTCAAAATTGAAATAAAATATATGAAAGTACATAAAACATACAACTTAACAAATTTGTATAAAGTACCCATGATAGTAACCAACCCCCAGTCAGTATTTAGGACATTGCCAGCATGTCGGAAGCCCATTTTAGCTCAACCTTATTTTTTAAAGCTTCATCCACTGCTGTAAATGAGATTTCATGTAAGTCTGATTTTTTTTTTTTTTTTTTTTTTTAAATAATGGGTCTTTATATCAAGCTTCTAAAATGGTTTTTATCTTCTGGGGCTCCTGGGTGGCTCAGTCGGTTAAATGTCTGACTGACTCAGGTCATGATCTCGCAGTTTGTGGGTTTGAGCCCCACTTCGGGCTCTCTGCTGTCACCGTGGAGCCTACTTCCGATCCTCTGTCCCCTGCCCCTCCCCCACTCATTCTCTTTCTCCTTCTTTCTCTCTCCCTTTCTCTAAAAAATAAATAGACATTAAAAATATTAAAATAGTTTTATCTTCCTTATGGTTCAGAAATTTTATTTTTTCTTATCAATCTTGCTTGGAACTTGGTGAGCCATTTCAATATGCAAACTCTGGTCTTTACCTCAGAGACATTTTCTTCTAATATTTGTTAATTAGTGCCTCCTATAAGTGTTCTCTTTTTTTCATGGAACTTCTTTTCCTCGTGTGTTAGGTTTAGTGGGTTTATCTTCCAGTTCTTTTAGCTTTTCCCTAAGATATACATTTCTTTGCATTTTTGTCTTTGCTTTAAAATACTCTTCCACTTGGGCGTCTGGGTGGGCTCAGGCAGTTAAAGCCTACTCTTAGTTTCCGCTCAGGTCATGATCTTGTGGTTCGTGGATTCGAGCCCACATCAGGCTCTGTGCTGGCAGTGTGGAGCCTGTTTTGGACTCTCTGTCTCCTTCCCTCTCTGCTCCTCCCCTGCTTATGTATGCTCTCTCTCAAAATAGATAAATAAACTTTTAAAAATTATGAAAATAAAAAAGATATTTTTCCACTTGATTACCCAGGCCAGTAATTCGAGCCTCAACTCTGACCATCCTCTTTCAGTCATTTAATGAGTTTTTTTGCTTAAAAGTTCATTTTTGTTGTTGTTGTTTATTTTATTTTATTTATTTATTTATTTTTTAAATTTTTTTAACGTTTATTTATTTTTGAGACAGAGAGAGACAGAGCATGAACGGGGGAGGGTCAGAGAGAGGGAGACACAGAATCTGAAACAGGCTCCAGGCTGTCAGCACAGAGCGTGACGTGGGGCTCGAACCCGTGAACTGCGAGATCATGACCTGAGCCGAAGTCCGACGCTTAACGACGGAGCCACCCAGGCGCCCCTTTGTTGTTGTTGTTTAAAAGTAATTTTTATTATTTTCAGAAGGTCTTGGGGCATGTGAGTGGCTTAGTCGGTTAAGTGTCCGACTTTAGCTCAGGTCATCATCTCGTGTTGCGTGAGTTTGAGCCCTGCATTGGGCTCTGTGCTGACAGCTCAGAGCCTGGAGCCTGTCTTGGATTCTGTGTCTCCCTCTCTCTCTGCCCCTCCCCTGCTCATGCTCTGTCTCTCTCTCAAAAATAAACATTAAAAAAAAAAAAAAGTCTTTGTGTATGTGTGCTGTATTTGAATTGTCTTACCTTGTCGTCTGTTTCTTCCATCAGCTGTTTATTTTATTTTTTTGATTTTTTTTTAAACGTTTTTATTTATTTTTGA